CCCCCAGACCCCCACCAGTGGGTCCCCCCAACATTACAAACACTTTTGTTTTTTATCTCTGAAAGTCATAAAATCAGTGATTTTATCTGTGAAATTACAAACTGAACATCTGTTGGTGAATCCATAGCTTTATGTTGTCATAGTTTTCAATTTGTTATTTTTACAAACACATCATAAACTTTCTGTTATAGATATTAGTTTTGGTGGGCCACCACTGGTTTTTCAGTGGCCCCCCCCATGCCCCCCTGAAAAAAATTTCTGCAGGCGCCACTGGATGCTACATTTCATTACTGTTGTTTATTTGTCTGTTCGGCCCACATACTGTCACAGCTCAGGAYTCATGAAGTAGATCCAGAGGTAGGTTAGGTTAAAGGTGGGTCTGTGACATCAGTGTTTAAACGGTTGTGTTCAGGATGTCCACATAAGAACACAACACATTGTTTCACTTTGAAAACTACCWTTAAAAACAATTGTTCCTGTGTGGTCTTCAGAGTAAACAGTAAAATACTTTTACTTATTCACAGTGTGTGACTGGGACCTGATCCAGGTGCAGGTACACACCTGTTTGTAGTAGAATTCACTGTGCAGGAGCTGGTTCTCTGCAGGGTCTAAGCTGAGCTGGAACTGTCGGTGGACCTCCTCAGGCAGGTGCAGCATCCCATCCAAAGGTTCATGTGTGACAACAGGGCTTCCAATCACTGCACAGAAACACAGAAACAAATCAGCCTGTTCACATCTGGTCTGATTCATTTGTTTCAGCTGATCTGACTACATGTGGTCAGCTCTGAAGTTTGTTTTCATTTGGTGTTTTCACTTGATTCAGTTATCAAGACATTAACAAAGTCCAGAACCATGTGACTGATGAGAGGCTTCAGTGTCAGAGCTACAACTGTAGACTTCAACATGTCAAACTGCACTCAGTAACTAACAAGCATCATCTGTTCTGAAAACCTTCACTGTGCTCAGCTGTGGTGAAAACGCACTGCCAGGCTACAGGAAGTTCACCATCACTAATTAAACTGAACAGGAAAGAGCCTCCCACTGAATAATTCCTGCATGGGTGATTATGTTTCAGCTGACAACAACTTATTTAACATGATGAGTCCAGACTGACCCTGTTCCAGAGTGATGGTGCATCAGGGTAAGAAGAGAGGCACAAACATGTCAACTTGTACACAATGTCCATAAATTATAAGGATTKTAGGTCATTTTGTAGGTATACAGACGTATAGAGAACTCTCTCAGTTCTGTTTCATAAAGGCTTTGCCCTTTAAGGCTATCGCTAATGGGTTTAACCTTCGCACGCAGTGCAACWGTGAAAACTCGTAGTCCACGCCCACCCTCTGGGTGGGCTTCCCCCGTTCTGTATAAATAGCAGTCAAACCGGACAATCGGCTCCTTTTTTTCTTCAGCGATAGCAGAAGCAACATTGAGAAGATGTCYAACATTATTCGTTTGTGCCCGTCGTGCCAGACGGGTTACATCCTGTCCTTCGACAACCAYGAGACCTGCGAGAGATGCCTGGGACCTCAGCCCACCTGTCGTCCCTGTGCTCTCCTCCCGCTGGAGGAGAGGAGGTGGAGAGTAGCCTTTTTTAAGGTCAGCATTGGGCCGCAGGGTGAGTCGACCGAGTCCGGTACCCGCTCGCAGGAGGAAGCTAGCTGCACTCAGCAAGCTAGCAGCGCTGAGCGGGAAACGAATGATCCCGCCAGCAAAGAAGACACCGGGGGAAATGAAGAGGGTGAAGACGACTCCGGTGACGCCATCATGGAGGAAAGGCGGCTGAGAGGCTGCTCAGTCAACCCCGGGCTTCCTGTGTCCTCCACCACCCCGTTCCCAGCGGTGGGCACACTCCTCCTCAAGCTGCCTAGCTTGATTCAGGAGGCTGCCAKCGCTAAGGGACTTCCRGTCCCACAGCMCCCCCGTCCCGCTCGAATGACCTGGTGGGAAGGTTTGGTTCTGCCTCAAGTCGCCACCCGGACCCCATCTGGCCTCAGTTTCCTGCCGTGATGGACTTCCTGGCTGAGACAGTGGCTGAGCCCGCCGAGCTGAGGGCGCCAGTCTCCACCTACACGCCCATCACCAGGGTGGAGGRGTTTACAGAGCCGAGTTTTCCCTCTGTCCCCCCTCTGGATCCAGGTCTTACTGAGGTGTTTGGGGCCAAGACGTCGGGGCTGGATCAGCGTCCGCTGCCTCCTTCCAAACACGATCAGCTGATCACAAGGTTTTCTGATCGGGCCCACCAGTWTCAGACCTCCGCAGCAACAAATAATGCTGCCTTGCTGACTTACGGCATTTCCAAGCGGCTGGAGGAAACTGCCCTGCCAGAGGATCTGAAGAGCTCTCTCTGTAAGGCAGCTGACGCAATCCTGAACCTGTGTGCCACTTCAGTGATTTGCTCCTCGAGGATCGCTGCCTGGGCCACCCAGATCCAGAGAACCACCTGGCKCCACCTGGCTCCATCCATGACGGAGAAGCTCCAGAAGGATCTGCTTAATGGTCCCATCACAGCTGAGACGGGCTGTTTGGCACCAACTTCCACTCTCTTGTGAAGAAGTCTCAGCAGACTCAGGAGGTTTTTGAGTCTTTTCGCCACCTGGTGCGGCCTCAACCTGAACCCCGCACCTCGGGTCGCTGGAGGGACCTCCTGACCGCCGGCTGCAGCCTCTGTCAGATCAGCTGATCTCACAGCAGCTCCATCACTCACAGCGAACCGCTCGCCTCTCAACAGCTTGTGACGAGGCGCCGCAGCTCCACCTAGTTTTTCTGTCTCAGCACATCAGTCCGCCTCTTCTGAGCAGTCTGATTCCAGCAGAGTTTTTCTGAGCGGTCAGAACATCTGGATGTTCCTGCTGCCTCCTCACACACACCTTACAGAGTGAGTGTGTCATCTCTCCAGCAGCGGCCCACGCCCAMGCAGCGTCAGAGCACACCGGCTCACTCCTGCTGCATGAAGGATGACAGGCAGCCCTTTCTGTCCGAGCCCCCCATGGGTTCCCTCCGGAGCAGCTGCGAGGCAGGGGACGGCGGTAGGGGCTCTAACGTGGCTGCAGTCCATGCGGACCACAGCACCACACATTAATGCACGCCCTCTTTCAGAGCGTTACTCAGAGCGGCACACATGTTCCCTCGACAGGTGGCTGGATCAGCTGATCAGCAGGGGTTACACGCTGCAGTTTGCAGGTCGCCCACCACCGTTCAGAGGGATCGTGGAGACGGTTCTGTCATCTCTGAAGCAGAGTGCTGCTCTCCGCTCAGAACTTCAGGAACTGAGGTTAAAAAAGGTCATTTCCACGGTTCCCCACGGAGAGGAAAATGCGGGGTTCTACTCCCGTTATTTTTTGGTTCCCAAAAAAATGGGAGGAGTGAGACCCATTCTGGACCTGTCTCTGTTCAACAGCTCGATCATGGAGAGGCCGCTCCACATGCTGACAATCAGACAGGTGCTGCAAAATGTTCACCAGAACGACTGGTTCACCTCCACAGATCTGAGAGACGCATATCTCCACGTTCCCATCATCCGGAAACACCGGAAGTTTCTGCGTTTCTCCTTTCAGGGGACCCAGTATCAGAACAACCGCCTGCCGTTCGGTTACTCKCTCGCCCCGCGCACATTTTCCAAGTGTCTGGAAACAGCGCTGCAGCCACTTCACATGGCGGGAATGAGAATCCTCTTTTATCTGGACGATCTGCTGTTACTGGCTCGGTGCAGAGAGGAAGCCGCGGTGCAGACCCAGAAGCTGGCGACACACCTCCTGAACCTGGGGTTTTCCATAAACTGGGAAAAAGTTCTGTTCTCCCATCCCAGATGATTGTTTATCTGGGGGTGGAGCTAAWCTCAGTGACAATGAGAGCCCGACTGTCACAGCTGAGAGCTGACGCTCTGTCAGCGCAGCTCTGCTGCATCAGACCTGGCAGTGTAGTGACAGCCCTGTCAGTCATGCGTCTGTTGGGAATGATGTCAGCAGCTCATGTGGTGGTCCCGCTGGGGTTACYGCACATGAGACGCCTCCAGAGGTGGTTCGCCCGGCTGCACATAGATACTGTGCGTCAGAAGAGGCGCATGATCTCTGYTCCCCCCTCAGTGGGAGCAGATCTGGCCCACTGGGGGAACCCCAGCATTCTGTTGGAGGGGGTTCCCCTCAGCAGACCTACGTCACACGTCTCAGTGTTCACGGACGCTTCCATCAGGATGGGGAGGGCTGTGTCTGTCTCAGGTGGTGGGAGCGAAGTGGCCCGACCACATGACCCTGCACATAAACATGTTGGAGCTCCTCACGGTGCTGATAGTGACTCAGCACTTTCTTCCTCTGCTGCGGGATCAGCATGTTCTGATCCACACGGACAACAGAGTGGCAGCCGCRTACATAAACCACCAGGAGGCGTGCGCTCAGCGCAGYTGCTAAATGTTGCCAGACAGCTGCTGTGCTGGGTGTGTGTAAACCTGCTCTCCATCAGACCAGTGACTGAGTCACTGAGGAGGATCCACCACTAGGGCTGGACGACTTCGCTCACAGTCCGTGGCCAAAACTGCTTCTTTATGMGTTTCCTCCAGTCCTGCTGATCCCGCGGCTCCTGGACCGAGTTCAGGAGGAGGAGCTGTCCGTGGTCCTGGTGGTACCCGAGCACAAAAACRCACCGTGGTTTCCGAGCCTGCAGCAGCTGGTTTCGGGCCAGCCGTGGCAGCTTCCATGGAGGGAGGACGCRCTCCTCCAGGCGGGGGGAACGATCAGGAGTCACCCAGAGATAGGTCAAYGTMTCTGGGTCTGGCCGCTGAGTGGGAGCGCTTAGAGGGGCTCGGTCTCCCGCAGGATGTGGTGCGCATGATCCAGGACGCACGAGCYGCTTCCACTACAGCTCTCTATGCATCAAAGTGGTCAGCTTTTCAGCRCTGGTGCAYGGAAAAMAGGAGTGGAGGCCATTTTATGCCCTTTAGGCTGCGTGCTGTTTTCTCCAGCAGCTGATGGACAGGAAGTTAGCTTTCAGCACCATTCAAACTTTGGTGACAGAACTGTCTTTAACCACCYGCTGAYGAAGTGTTTTCTGAGAGGTGTGCAGAGATGCAGACCTGTGTCAGGCCCACTCATTCCGCTCTGGTTAAAGCTCCATTTGAACCTTTAGACCAGGTTCCTCTTTAGTTTCTGTCCTTTAAAACAGCTCTGCTGTTGGCCCTCACATCTGCAAACAGAGTGAGTGATTTATCTGCGCTCTCTGTCGCTCCCTCATGCCTGAGAATACAGCAGCTCAGCTGTGCTGCGTCCCAACCCTGCTTTTAGCCCTAAAAGCTTAACCAGCTCGTTCAGGTTGAGAGAGATAACTGGATGGTTTTTACCCCCTCCTCATAACTCTGAGGAGGAAGCCTTATCTCATCTCCTCTGCCCTGTGCGTGCACTCTTGTGTTACGTGGCTCGCACGTCTGCTCTGCGCCGCTCTCAGTGTTTGTGTATTACAGAGAGAAGTCAGTGGGACGTCCTCTGTCTGTTCAGCACCTCTCACAGGTTGTGTGAGGTGATTTCACAGGCTTATGTTTCCTCTGGCCTGGATCCTCCAGAGGATCTGACAGCTCAGTCCACCAGAGGAGGACCGTCTGTGGATGACATCTGCAGGGCGGCCTCCTGGTCATCTCTGTGCTCATTTATTCGTTTTTACCTGCGTGACGTTTCAACGTTCTCCATGACTCGTCCTGTTCTCAGGGTTGTGACAGAAAYATTTTATTATTTGTTGAAACAACATGCTCTGTTCCTCGTCACACTGTTACACTTCAYAACCTTCCTTGTTCTGATTCACWGCAGCAGGTTTGTTATATTAACATTTTTAACCAGAGTGTCCTCCTCTCCGGTCATCTGAAACACCGGGGGTCTGGAGTGTGTAATGACACATTTCAGGCTGTGAGTGTTGGTTGTTATGTGTGAGCAGATGCTTCATATTATGGTCTGAATGGATCCAGTGAGGCATAGACTACATCCAGCTTCTCCTTTAACCCACTGGCGATAGCCTTAAAGGGAGAAGCCTACAGGAAACAGAGCGTTGGTTATGTATTGTAACCCCAGATTATATGAGTACAGGTGCAGCCCTTTAARCTATGGGCCTCACTGGTTCCTGTTGAAGAAAACATCTTTTAGGGAGCCGATTGTCCGGTCTGACTGCTGTTTATACAGACGGGGGAGGCCCACCCAGTGGGTGGGCGTGGACTATGAGTTTTCAGTGCTGTACTGCGCCAAGGGATAAAGGATAAACCCACCAGTGATAGCCTTAAAGGGCTGCACCTACACGTAACMAACGGTTTTTTCAAAACCTCATTTTCAAATTTGTGAGCCGTCACATCAAAACAAGGATTGAGTCCAAAAGTGGAACATAGAGAAACAGGCAGATACAGGGTTTTGATTTAAACAAGTGCAAAAATTACATTTTGTCAAAATATAATGAATTAATGTCATTTGAATGAACTGTCTGAAATTTAATCATAAAACTTTTTGAAGCATTTCTTTGAGAAGTAGCAACAAAAAAAAAACTAATTTTGAGGAAAAATGCCTTAAATTTTTGACATTTTCCTGTGAGGTAGAAATGGTTTTTTTTCTTTCCAACTGGGAAATCTTAATATACAGAAAATATTTTAGGTTTCCTCCATATATTAACATCAAAAATTACCCAATAAATTTACATAAATTAGGATTCAGAACCAACAGTAATGTATTATTGTAACCAACAAGACAAATTAAGTCATATCTCTGGATAAGCTGATGACATCAGGATGATCCAGGTGTCAAAATGTTGTTTTTAAAGACAGGAATCTGAAAATGTAGTTAGATCATTTTGATTAAATTTGATTTAATCCTCATTTCGATATGATGGCTCACATCTAACATGTCAGAGCCTGTAGGAACAGTCAGCTTCCACCTTGTTCTGCTGCTGGAAATACGTTTTGAACTTTTTCTGCTCTCATTTCCTGGCTGACAGTGAACAACAGCTCTGAACTCTCCTATACAACTTCCTGTAATCCAACGGGATTTAAAAAAATCCCAATAAAACTGTTATTATTATTATTATTATTATTATTATTATTAATACAATAATAAAGAAGGTGTCTTTCATGACACTCAAGGGCACCGTACAATGTAAATACAATGCAATAAAACCAAAGAATAAAGCATAGAATAAAATTGCAATAACAC